TCTAACATTCGACTTTAAGATATGACTCCGAATCACATTGAGACTGTATGATACAAAATATCGAATTCTATTTATTGGCTAAATACGACAACATCATTTTGTGCAGGGTAAATTGCAGAATGTATAGTTTTTTTTTTATTATTACATCATCTTCAGCAATATAGATTTAGATGACAAACGATTATAAATTTTATTGCATTAAAATAATAATTAATTTCATAAGACTAATTGTAATATGTTCACGACAAATTAAACAACTAAGTAATTGCTTTGTTTTTACGAAAAGTAAGAATTAAATTTTAAATTTTAATGTTAGTAATAACGACACAAATTTATATAGCAAAAGTGGAGAAAGATCCATCTCAAGCAGATTGAGGATGACCTACAAAAATGCAAAATTACAATAGCTTGATACGAGTGAAACAAACAAAAGAGGTACGTCAGACATTATGTCTACGAATTGGTAACAGAAGTTATGTAAAATTATACTACAGAAACCTACGGTGACTACTGCTAAATATATTATTACATTACACTTCAAAAACAATACTATATGCAATTTACCATAGCACTACAGAATTTACACACAAACTAATGCGAGTTACATATCAAATACGAAAATGTACACACCAGGCTACAGAACTACAATTTATATTACAAGGGCGCACGAATAACAAGAGAATATAACTTTATTATAGTGTGATAAGATTACATCAAATCCACATGACCATATGGTCTTGCTGCTTCGTTCAATCAATTGAATTTTTTTAAACGGTTAACCTGTTCAAGCCGCGTGGTCCCAACGAAGTGACGGAAGTTCTTAAAACTTATTCATCTCCTCACTAACTGCGGTATCTGGCATTCTTGTCGATCACATTGTCTTTCATACTTGTATGAAGCTTCATTCGCTTCATGTGTATTGCACAACTGTCACGAATTCACGAGGTACAGTTCAAAAACTAAAATACTTAATGAAAAAATCCTTAACCCAGAAAAAAATATCTAATACTGTAACTGTATGAATGACATTAAGGTGCACTTTCCATTGAAATTGAAAGTATACGTAAATTCAAAAGCCTAAGTTTTTTTTTATAATACATAGTATTGGTAAGCGACACGCTTGTCCATTCAGAGCCTTAAATTGCTAAGTTCTGAGGGTAATGCCACGATGCCCGTCACATAAGTCGACATATACCATGTGCCTGTAATTTCCCTTTAAAACCGGATCGCAGTAATGCTCACTGCTTTGCGGTTCTAGGCTATGTTTAAATCAAAAGAACACAAGTTCATTATACACAACGTTGTCAATGAAATCACATCATATATTTCAACTATAGAATATAGAATAATTCAATATATAGGAAAAAACCGATTGAGCAGACTAAGAGGCAACACTATATGGTCACGAGAACATCAAACTCTCTTTCAAGCACCATTCTTAGACCTTCTAATAAAACTCTTAATAGTGTGAGTTACGCACACATCAAACAGAACAAGTTAGAACATGTTCCCTAATCTGTTATATGAACTTGTAGGCACAATTTACATCGCTGAAGGAAGTGGATTTTTGTTGCCATAGCATAATAAACTTAAAATCAATCGTATAACGTACAAATTAGATACAATCCAAAAAGCAGGTCGCGCGTCTTCAGATTATATTTTTTTTATGACACTAAGGGACAAGACTTAACAAGTCGTGAGCCTGGTGGTAAGCGACACGCCTGTCCGTATCAGGGGGTCTACTGAATTACTGTCAAATGAATAATACTCGGCAATATCGAGTAAGAACATTGACTTGCAATTATATGGACGTCGGGCCCGCGCTAAAAAGTGTCCGAACTTATAGGGCGTTAAAATCGTATACAGAGGGTCATTCACGCTTTAGTCTTCGTTTGTTCGACTGACAGCGAAGTAAGCAAAATTAGACAGTACTGCGATGACATTACAATTTAAATTCAACGTTTTAGCTTTTTCATATTCCTTTACATGTCACTACGTTTAAATAGGTTGACTTGGGACATTTTTTTCGTGGTTTTTGTATTAGACCCGTCGTCCATTTATTCGTAAGTCAATGAGTAAGAAACTTCATTCGCATCAGACGCAATTACTCGAGTATTACTTATTTGACAGTAATTGTTTCGGACATATGTCAGACGGAGAACGAGAGTACAGGTCCAGTTGCAGTGCTACTCAGAGCTTTAAATCGCAAAGTTCTGTGGGACAGTCACTGCGCCCGTTTACCCTTGGACATAAGTTGACCGAGATGCTTACATTACTCTCGCGAAGTATGAATATCTATGTACAATTTCGTTACAAAAATTCGCTTTCATTACGCAGCAATGTAAATTGAGCGATAGACAGCAAAAAAATCAAAATTAACTAAACCCTCAAATAACCAATCAAATGTAGACATCCAAAATGACAGATTTGATAGGTTACACTAGGTATAGTATGTATGTGTATGACAAAATTTCAAATTTTTTTAATTTCTGTGTCTGGTTTGACAGTATTAGTTTCTGTTTAATTAAGCAGCAAGCATGTAGATACGAAGAGTATACACCAGAAATTTTACTATTTCCATAGCCATATAGTGATATTTACGTAATATCGCAAATCTCCACATTTCTAAGTTCTTTGTCACCAATTTATAGAATTTTGGTTAAACTATACTACTGGTTTGAGATATAATGTTCCAGTTTTGTCTTTAATTAAAGAAAAATTCGAAAATTTCAACTTTTTGTTATCCTGACCACAAAAGCTTTTGCAAAAAAAGGAGGTTGTCTATTCAACTGTTTTTTTTTTGTACGTATGTTACTCGATAATTTTGTGAACTGATTTTGATGATTCTTGTTTTGTTGGAAAGAGAGTAGTTGACCTTAGTAGTGGTCCCATTTAAATTTGAAAGAATGAGATTATCTGTAGATATTGCACGTTTGACAAAAATTTTTTTTACAAAATAATAACAAAAATGCATCGTGTATGACACTGATTCTTTTGTTGACACTTTAAATGTCTATTTTTGGTTGATTAGACAGCTTAGATCATTTTGAATTTCGCTGTCAATACATACTTCAGAAAGATCATATACCTTGTAAGAATCTTCCATTTTTCATGGAAACTGCGCCGTATTCACAACTTATTTAACTGACTAAT